TATTCTATTCTATTCTATTCTATTCTATTCTATTCTATTCTATTCTAAACAAGCTAAATACACTAGTAACATGGGCAGCATCCTGCCCACACGCTTTTATCTTTCTTGATGACTTCAATCTACCTCATATTAACTGGACCCATACAACTGAACCACACATGCAACCTTCTACAATGCAGTAACAAATCTGGAACTAGAACAACTAGTAACCAACAACACTAGACTTAACAACTGCCTCGATCTCATCTTCTGCAATAGTTTGAATTCAATTTAGGGAATACAAATTAAAGAACCCTTTACCAACAGTGCCCACAACATGATTGACTTTTGTCTCAACACACGTCCACACAAAAATCATCACAACAACGGAATCCCCAATTATAACTTCAAAAAAGGCAACTATGATCTTATAAACAACGATCTCTCGTCCCTTGATTGGCAATTTCTATTCACTGGATGCAATACTGTAGAAGACCATTACAACATATTTTTACTTGAAGTCAAAAAAGTCATCAAACTATATATACCAATAACAACTCCCCAAACCAGAAAAAACAAATTACCCATAACAATTCTCCATAGAACTATGGTCACAAGCCACGGTCATCCCCATCTTCAAAAAGGGAGACCCCAGCCGAGTTGAAAATTACAGACTGATCTCTTTATGCTGCGTCACCTGTAAAGTCATGGAATCCATTATTAACCAATCCACCATCTTCCACTTAGAGACAAACAACCTACTCTCTAATAAACAATTTGGTTTCAGAAAAAAACTATCCTGTAATCTGCAACTCTTATACTGCAAAAACATATGGACTACACAACTCGATCAGGGCAAAGCAATAGACGTAATCTACATAGACTTCTGTAAAGCCTTTGATTCAGTGGTACACGACAAACTACTCCTAAAACTAAAATCTTACGGTATCTCTGGACACCTGCATAACTAGATAGAAGCATTCCTGTCAAACAGACAACAAATGGTCAAAATTGGGAGCGTCCTATCAGATTCTGTCCTGTCAATAGTGGTGTCCCCTAAGGCAGTCTTCTAGGACCAACTCTTTTCATACTCTACATAAATGATCTCTGCGATCATATTAAGAGCAACTGCGTTCTCTTCGCTGATGATGTAAAGCTATTCAACACCACAGACAATACTACTACCCTTCAAAAAGACCTTGACTATGTATCAGAATGGTCAAGCAAATGGCAACTTCAAATATCAACAAATAAATGCTCTGTCCTACATACTGGCAAAAAAAATAATCAGAAAGTAAAATACAAGCTGAATAGTCAAGACCTTGTTGATGATCCAAACTCTGTCAAGGATCTTGGAGTACTCATCTCTAATGATCTAAGTGCTACAGCCCACTGTAACTACATAGCCAAAAAGGCGTTAAGAGTTGTTAACCTAATCTTACGTAGCTTTTTCTCTGGTAATATTACACTACTAACTAGAGCATACAAAACATTTGCTAGACCAATACTCGAATTCAGCTCATCAGTCTGGAACCCACATTATGTATCTGATATTAACATAGTTGAGAAAGTCCAGAAATATTTCACAAGAAGAGTTCTCCGCTACTCTACTCGTTGCAGGATACCTTATGCCATCAGACTTGAAATTCTAGACCTAGAAAACCTAGAACTATGCCGCCTTCAGTTCGATCTTAGTATATAAAATCATACATTGCAATGTCCTACCTGTCAATGAATACTTTAGCTTCAACCATAACTACACAAGAGCAAACAATAGATACAAACTCAAGGTTAATTGCACCAAACTTGATTGCAGGAAATACGATTTCAGCAACAGAGTGGTCAATGTCTGGAATACTCTACCTGACTCTGTGGTTTCTTCCCCAAACCCCAAAAACTTTAACCTTAGACTGTCTACTATTGACCTCACCCCTTTCCTAAGCGGTCTGTAGGGGGTGTGCATAAGCGCACCAACGTGCCTACCGTCCCTGTTCTATTGTTTCTTTTATTTTTCTTATATGTATCTATGTATTCATAACTATGTTTTTACTTATACCTATTATCTTGTAAGCAATTGACAAACCAAATAAATAAATAAATAAACATTTGCATATGAAAATTTCTAATTATGAATCAACTACTTAGTTCCTCTTTCAAAAAAGCCAGGAGTTAGAGGACAAGAGCAAACCATGGGTTTTCGTTAGGACCTTAGCCTGTTAGATAGGTAACCAAAAGTAATGACAGTTGCTTTGCTATTTATTATTGTTAACTGTTTCTGTTGGCAGACCTAAGAGGGAGGGATAAAAAAGTATGCATCAGCATGTTGCTTGCTCAGTTTGTGTCAGAATTCTCCACTATTCTGCTCTACCATGACACAAAATTAAAAAATACCTTCTAAAGTATTGAACTACAAGTAGGTAATTTTAAAAATGTAGAAACGTTAACGACATTATGAATATTTTTCTGAGATTTGGTCAAGATCACAATAATTGTTCTTTCACGGAGTTATAATTATTTTCATTAATGATTAAATAAGTAACCTTGTCAAAAGTATGTACAATATATACAGCACTAAAATATTTTCACACAAACATCTCACACCATTGAGATAAGAATTGTTACAATGGCTCAATTAAAAATAAATATTTGATCATTTACGCAATCTCATGAAGATTTAATCATTTACATGATCTGTATATGAAGAAATGTTATTGGAAGAAATAGGGTATGTTACTATGTTTCTTGCAATATTCTTTAGAACAACGGTCCCAACCTATTCCAGCTCTGCAGACTGGCAGCAGTGGCGGCAGCAACAGGGGGAGGGGATGATTTCATGCATGTGCATGCTTCTTGCGCCACAGGAGCTTCTCGCGCTCTCCTGCTACTTGTGCGGCCCACTTGCCAACAGGCCATTGACCAGTAGTAGTCTGCAAACCAGGGGTTGGGGACCCCTGCCTTAGAAGACTCTAAAATAAGTGCATTTGCCATAAATTGTAAAACGGCCCTCCTTCAGACATTATATTGCTCAGTGGCAAACAAAGTATTAAAGCCACAAACCACAGACCAGATTTAAAGGAATTTTAGAGAGACTGGAGTTGCAACTGGACAGAGGCACTGGTAGCAATTATTGACTCTGTTTATATAAACAGAAGGGTAATGGAAGGGTTTAAGCCAATAGCACTTTAAAAAACAAAGGATGGCCTTTCTTTGCCCATATTTTTCCCTATTTCAGCAAAGGCTGATTGTTATTTTGCCAAACTCTCAAGAAACTAGATTGATATGCCTTCACAACAGTTTGCCATATTAAAGTTCATGTTTACTCAGATAAAACTTTTGCATGATGTCAATTTTTCTGATTAAAATGTTTCTCTACTTTATCATTAAAAGATACCACCACAGTAGTACATTTTTTCCTGAAAAACTGCACATTTTCCTGGACTCCTGTCTTACTAATTCTGGTTTTTCTGCCATACAAGGGATTTACATACTGTGTATTCATTCACACATACATATACATATAAGAGCTGCGGTGGTGCAGTGGTTAGAATGCAGTACTGCAGGTTATTTTTGCAGATCACTGGCTGCCAGCAGTTTGGCATTTCGGGTTTCACTGGCTCAAGGTTGACCCAGGCTTCCATCCTTCCCAGGTCGGTAAAATGAAGACCCAGATTGTTGGGGGAAATATGTAAACTGCTTAGAGAGTAAAGCACTGTGTAGGGGTATGTAAGTCTAAGTGCTATTGCTATTCTGAAAATACTGCTTTGCATTTGGAGATATTTTTCATTAATACTTTTCATATACAACATCCTATCCAACATCTGATTAGAAAAGCTGTGTAAGAACATTATTCAGATGAGCAGATACACACTACAGTAACCAGGAACACCAGAAAAAGGAAATAGGCCGCCTATACAACATTTTACAACAAAGTGGATACCCAGGCAACTTTATTGAAAAGTGCCTGACTATCTAACCCACTATGGCACAACAAATGTGAGCTATGAAAAACATCTCAGAAATAATCAACAGATTATTACAACCACATGGCATCACTCTGGCACACAAACCAAACTCCCTTTTTACGATCCTGTAATCCAACGAAACCCTCAAAAACATCTTAAATAAACCAAAAGACTCAGCAGCCCTGGAAGGGGAAAAAAAACAGGAATCCTCTACTATATATAATGTAAGGAATGTTAACAGCTAATATGTAGGACTGGCAGAAGATTAGCAGAGCACATCCATTAACACCATCTAGAAGTCAGAAGACAGAATGAAAACTCCTTAATCTCACAATTTGTGGAGAGAATTATCTGGTTTCAACCGGGAAACTGTGAGCATCCTATACCAAACTATATCCAAAACACTAAATTCAAAAATTCCTGGAAGCTTGATATTCAGACAAAGAAATAAACCATATATACACATCACTCAAAAGAGATGATAAAAACCTAAGAAGGAAACAAGACCAGAAAACATTTCCTCCAATGGTCAACAATTAGATAAGTAGGGATTAACACTAGACAAAAAAAATCAAGCAGAAAACAATATCCTAATCAAGGAACTACTAAGCAGAAAATCAAGCCCCCACCAATACTGGCAGGAAAAATTACTATATATAAACAGGCATTAAGCCCACACTCACTAGCCCTGATGTTATCTAGTTGGGTTATGAGATCTCTGCAAGCAAACAGCCAAGCTCAGAAAGCACTAAAGACCCACTAAAGAGTGGTATTAGTACTTCACTTGATCTCAATTGTATCCCTCTGTTAATGCAATTTAGGATTGCATTAGCTTGTTTGGCGGCTGCTGCACATTGCTGGTTCATATTTAGCTGGTTGTCCACTAAGACTCCAAGATCCCTCTCACATGCCATCATATATAATGGTTGCAGCAAATTATCTGGGAACATCCTTAATTCACCTTATATTATTAGTTAGGTTTGAATTTTCTTTAAGCAGACAAATGTCCAAGATTCAATCTTACCTTGACATTGCAGGCCTGTTCCATAAGCCTTCTAGCATTTTCTTCAGCTCTGTACCTTTTAGGCAGCTGTACTCTAAAAAACTTTAAAGCTCCTTCAAAATCAGCTTGCAGAAGATCCTCTTTGGAAGTCTGCAAAGAAATATATTGGAGAACAGGTGTAATAGTGAATCAAAGGTGCTTTGCTCTATTTCATAAGCATTTATATAAGCATAAATCCAATCAGTGGAATAAGAAGGTAGATAACCGTATTTTATAAAAACAAGAAAATTACAGTTAGCATAATATAATACATCTTTATATTTCTATACTTTAAAAAAATTGAATGTGTCGGATATGTTCTCCACCCTGAGTTATTTGTAAAAATAATAAACTTGGAAAAAATACATATTTAAAAAGCTAGTAATGTTAAAATCATGCTGATAGCTTTTCTTTCTCAGATCTCTGAGAAAGAAGGTTTTGAAAGCTTCAGAAATGACAGAACAATGCAACAATTGTCTTCATGGTTAACAAACGTTCACTATGTATAAAGGTAAGAAATATACAAAAAAAACCCCACATTTGTAAACACATAAATCCTATAGCCAACATACCAAAATTAATATACAAAACCACAGATATGGACTAACTTGGAATATGGGTGTGTGGCCACTTTTTATATTAATGATTAAACAAAGTAAATTTGTTTTTGTGATAATTCCTCTTAAAAGAGTTAGTACTTCTAGAGTAAAAAGCAGAAATTTGTCAATATTCTCACTTCAGATATATGCGAAAAATACACACTCATCCCCATTCCCATTTTGTGATAAATATTTGTTTGAATTTTTATTTGGGAAATTAAAATGTGAACTCAATAAATTGTTCTTGCGCTCTCATTTTCACTATCTTACTGGGTTTAATTGAATCCCAGATCAGCTTCCTAAAAGATCTGACAAAGGACAGGCCTCATAGCCCTCCATTTTCTCCTTGTTCCTCAGTGATATACTGCAAATGTGGTTAGTATGTTGCAATGGAATTCTCTTTTACATACATGTAAGAATTATAGTTTTTTATTTTGTGTGTGATAGCATAAATGCTCACGCACATAAATTTAAGTATGTGTGTCTTACCAAACAGGAGGGTTATAAATGAATTCAAGTATTAGAACAGAATTTAACATACAATTATAAATTTTGGCTTTCCTAATGAGAAGCAGTTGACTTACAGCCACAATTGAGCCCAAAATTTCTATTGCTAAATGAGACAGTTATTAAGTGAGCTTTGCTCCATTTTATGAACTTTCTTGCCACAGTTGTTGAGTGAATCCCTGCAGTTAAGTTAGTAACATGGTTTTTAAGTGAATCTGGCTTCCCCATTGACTTTGCTTGTCAATAGGTCACAAAAGATGGTCACATGACATCTTTTGACACTGCAGCTGTCATAAATATGAACCAATAGCTAAGCATCTGAATTTTGATCACGTGACTGTGGGGATGCCACAAGAGTCATAGGCATGAAAAATGGTCATAAGTCACTTTTTTTCAGTGCCACTGTAACTTCAAACAGTCACTAAATGAATTGTTGTAAGTCAAAGACTATCTGTAAAGAGAGAAACTAACTCATACATTAAATCTTTCAAACTGAATATTGACACACATAAGACAGGGACATGGACGAAATCCCTCCTTGGCGGAATACCATCTGGATATGATGAGATAACAGTAGATGGAGATGTGAGAGAACCTGAAAGTATAAGGAGGTCTGGGTCGGGCAAGCATCATTAGAAGGAGATACAGTATATTAACAAAGAAAGCTTTGTGACCAGAATTCTTGGTCTAATAAACCAACTCCTGTTTCAGACATCATTACCAGATGGACAATAAAAACATATTGATTATATAATAGGAAAAAGAGAAAGGCGAACAATTAAGGGACTGCTAATAGGTGGATGAAAAGTTCATACAGGTTCCAAACTACCCTTTTTAAAAAACAATCTAAAGCAGTTAATATCTCTAGTATGTAACTGATTTAGTCCATTTAACTTATGCAAAAAGGAATCTAAGAAGCTGTAGAAAGAGGAAAGAGACACTGTGAATTGTGGAAGGAGAAAACTAGAAAAAATCTTCCAAAATATCAACGAGAAGCACCTTCAAGTAGCTTCTGAAACAAATTATCATGCTAGTTAACGAATGGTTTTGGGGAGGTAGGAGGAGTTTTGGGCAATAAGGTTAAAAAAATAATTGAAGCCAGATTTCCAACATCAAGCAAGAATAGACAATGCAAAATATCTTGAATAAGAATGTCAACAAATTGAAGGAACTAATGAATGAAATATGAAAAGCATATTTACAATCGGAGGAACATTTTAACTAGGTTAGGGCTACTCGAGTGTACAAGTTGTCCTTGCTTAACAACCAGTTACTTTCCATTAGAAGTTATGACACACATATACATACACAGAGCTACTTACAACTCCGTTTAGGGTTCTGATGCTCCCACCCCCATACACACAAGACACATAATTGCATTTTGGGCACATGGCAACCAGCTCGCATTTATAGCCATCTACAGTATTCCAGCATTTTTTGCTGGTTTCTGGGATTTACTTCTTGTTTCCTCCTCCAACAACAATAACAACAACAACAAATGCCCATTGAAGAAAATGGGGTTGCTTAAAAACCACACAGTTCATCTAATGACTGTGGCATTCACTTAACATTTGTGGCATTTGCTTAATGACCACCTCAAAAAAGTTGTAAAATCATAAGCAGTCACATGGTAACCTACTTAATGCATCAGCACACCTTTCAACCATAGTTCCGGGCTCAACTACAGTTGGAAGACAAGGGCTGTCTGTAATCATGGAAGAGATTTAACTAAAAGCAAATTAAGTTAAAGGAGATTAAAAGACCATTCTAAAACCCTTTGCAAACAAGATTACAGAAAACAGAAATATTTGCCAAATCAGCAAGCATTCCGAAAGCAATTCTTTTAGAAAGTGTGAGTTTATATAATAACAATAGATCAGATGAAATACAACAAACTACCTAAAATATTTGTTGAACTTTTAAAGATGCATGAATAAGGGCTGTAAATGCGAACACTCTATTCCAGCATATATGAAACAAGACTGTGTGGCTAGAATTTTCAAAAATTGTACATTATATAGTTATATAACAATGAAAAGAAATACAAGAGAAAATTCAAATTATTAAACATTTGCAATAATTGGCAAAAAATCTAATGAGAATACAGACATTCAGGCAGGCTGAAACTAAAGACAAGCCAATTATCAGAAAAGACAGAGGATCATGAAGTTAGATAGGTACAGATGAATAACAGAAATAGAACATAGAGTTGGAAGGGACTTTGGAGGTTATCTAGTCCAACCCCTGCTCGAGCAGGAAACCCTATACTATTTCAGATAAATGGCTGTCCCATCTCTTTTTGAAGGCCTCCAGCATTGAAGCACCCACAACTTCTGAAGGTAAACTATTCCACCAGTTAATTGTCCTCACTGTTAGGAAATTTCTCCTTAATCCCAGTTTGTTTCTCTCCTTGATTAGTTTCCATCCATAGTTTCTTGTTTTGCCTCCAGATGCTTTGGAAAATAGTTTGATTCATCTTTGTGGCAGCCCCTCAAATATCAGATCATAGATCATTTTATATTTGCTTTGTAATTACATCATGCTAGAATGTGGAATGTGTTAAAACTACAGGGTGTATCAGATATGACAGGATGGTTCCTGAGTTCTCTCTGTGGAACACATATATCTTAACTTGAAGGTGCATTCAAAGAGGAGAGGGTCTTGAAAAGCAGGTTTGCTACTAGAAATGGATAAGTGGGCAGAGAAAAGAATACCTGAAGCTTGGTCCAATAGTGAGGGTACCAGGCCCACTGAAAAGGCGAAAGAGCTCTAGAGTTTCAAGTTTCAGGGAGTAGAGAAGAAAAAAAGGAAGGCTGTGCAGGATTGGAATAGTACGGGTAAAAAGACTTCAGTTACTGGGTTAGCAAGCATAGAAAAGCTCAGGAAAAGCAACAGTAGTCCCAGTAAGTCCAGCTGGCACGTTGGCCAGCAAAAGTTGGCAAGGGATCCAGGCAGTTGGCCAGGAGGTTTTGCTTGGCAGGATGCCTAGGAAAGAGGAACCTGGTACTAAGGAAGCTTCAGCCATAAGGCTGCCTAGTAGTAGAACCTTTGAGAAAACATAGAAGTTAGGTCAATGGCTGTAGTCAGGGCATGAGGAGTGAGAACAGCAACAGCGAGAAACAGTGGGGGTTTTGCCCAGCAATTTGGTTATAAACAGAATGCAATGAACAAGTGGCACTATAAATGGCACCATTACGCTAGGCCAGGTAGAAAGAAGAAAGAAGCTGTATGGGAGTCCAGTTAAACCTGGCTGGGATAATAGCAACACCTCAGTCAGGGTGGATACATCATCTCTATTCAACAATAGCATTAAGCACCACAGGTGTCAAAGAAGTTCCAGATGGGACAAAGAAGTTCAAAGAAGAATTGAACCTCAGGCGCATCTACGGCAATTGGACTCTGGGTAGGGATACATCAAGCAGCCTCAGAAATTCTTCTTTCCTAATACTCTCTCCTTCTCTCCATATTACATGCCAATAATGAAGAACTGAGCATTATTTTTAGCTCAAAATGGGTATGATAGAGTATAGGCTTCAATGGATAGTAAGTCCTGCAGGAAAAAAAAAATATTGCTACCAGCCTGCTTTCCATTGAGAAGCTATATACTGCATGGGCCAGAAAGAGGGCTGTGAAAATATCTACTGACCCCCCTCACATCTTGGGCATAAACTTCTTCCTTCTAAACAACGCTATAGGGCATTGCATGCTAAAACAACTGTACACAAGGGGAGTTTTCCTCCCATGCCATCACTCTGCTAAACAACTAATTCCCACAACACTATCAACTGCCTAGACTGTTATTACTATTAGCCATCTCATCCTTCCTATTATCTATTTCCTTATCTTCTTATAACTATAATTTTGTTGCTTATATTACTTGTTTTATTTAGTATCCTAGTAAGATTTGCTTATTTAGTATCCTATGACTATTACTAAGTGGTGTATCTTATGATTTCTGATGAATATATCTTATGATTATTATGATCATAATTTATCACTTGTTAC